GTTAATAATACAATTAGGTGGATTTAGGATGGCTTTACTTTCTGGATTAGGTCCAGCATTTGTTCAGTTGAGTTACAAATTCTCTTCAGGCCCCGTAACATCCAAGTAAACGAACTCTTAATGCTTTGAACGCAGGTTTACAATGATCGATTGGGTACCAAATGAAAAACACCGTAAGAAGCACCCATTGAGATATCACATGATTTAAAACTGACATTTTAAAAGGCCTTTTGATTTTTCTCTGCGATAAATTCGGCGCCTTCCTATTTATTTTAAGCTGTTTGCTAAGCAAATATTATTTTCTTCGTTAAACGTAAATAGATTTAGTGGTCAAATTTGAACAAAGTACATTGTCTATATTCAAATCTCGGACGGAACAATTGTTAAAATCTGAAATATTCAAGACACTTCAAACAGGCTTTAATTGGAGTTAAAAAGAGAAAATTTTAACAATTTTTACAAGACTTTAAAAGGGTACTCAATAATTAAGAAGCGGTTTTGGAGTGCAGAGGGGAAAGGAACTTTTAATTTATGAGGAACGAAATGACTAGGAATTATTGAGAATTCTGCCATGCTATTGGACTATCCACTCAACCGGCAAACTTCCAGAAGCTGTGCCCATAAGAAACGTTTTACCGCACAGTGTTTCCCATTCGTTTTCGACGCTTGGCGTAGATTTTTCTCCCAACCCAAGGAATGTAAAGCTAAGATGAAGGCTTTTCTTTGGAAGATTTTACACTTTCTGCTAATGTTTGGACTAATAGCGTCCAATACCGTGAACAGTGGTCCTTTGCAAGAGAAAATGAAAAAGGGTAAGATAAGAAACAGTTTTTCACAATCAAAAGCGGGTAGAAGATCATTGTATCACTGGTTGAACAGAAACCAAAAAGGCCTAATTTAAAGAGTAAAAAACCTTACCTTATCGATGACTGTCTGTCATGTCTCCTGTGGTCGACGACTTTATCATTTTTTTCGATTTTTTGCAAGCATTTGTGTGAGAAATCCCTTGCGAATTCGTACGCCTCATTACCTTGTTACAAGAGAAACTAACTGTTTTTAACTAGCACTCACGGCGAACTAAATCGATGTAACCCCCCATAAAAGTTCGACGCATTTCCAGCAAATAGGGGATGTGGATTGAAAATCTACCCAGCCAGATTTACTTGAAAGCTGCCGGGATAGAGAATTACGAATCAAATATCTTAAATTGAAGGTTCGAACACCAGCAATCAAAATCGGACATTTTTCCTACATTTAAACAAGCGAGTGCCATTTGAGATTACGATATTGACTGTCATATGAACCATAGACACTTTGTCAGATCCTAGCAAACATTTCCGATTATGATACTGATATCGATATTCTTGTATCATCATGATATATCGAATTAGTATAATTTCAGAGCTGAACAAAGAGTTCCCAGCAATCTGATTGGTGGAGCGGTTCCTCATATGACGCTATATAAACCGCTCCGTGCGGTTTATATAAAATATTAAACTAAAATGTTAATAAATGGTACTAAAATGTTACGATTTTAGAAATTTCTCTGTTGTTCAGCTCTGAAATTATACTACAACAATTATTCGCCTAAGGTTCGGTGAATATTGTCGAATAATCCCCTCAACTTCGTCTCGGGGATTATTCGACGATATTCACCTCGCCTTCGGCGAATAATTGTTAAATATAAAACCCCTGGACATTTTGTCAGATCCTAGCGTCGTAAGTTTATAACGGGCCCTTGAGCCCTTATAAGTTGGGATTCAAATTTAAAATCAGTAATCAATTATCAAAAAGGTAAGTAAAAAAGCTAAACGTCAAATTAGAGACAAAGGCTATTTAAAATCAAGGCTAAGGATGATTGATTTAATATGTTTGCATATTTCGTTTAAAAATTATTTTGGGCCTCGATCTTTTGAGTTTATTGGGTAGAAAAGCACGGTCTTTTGAATTGTATGTTGTACTCCTCCACACTTTCTTTTCTTTGAGCAAGTATCAGTTGGTGTCGAATCTATGCAAAAAGGTTCAGTGTAGCTCTGAACACATCGAACTGTTTTAGTATTGCCCCTTTAATTGCATCGTGCCAAAAGCGTCATCTATACAGTGGTAGGTCTAGCATTTGTTCTTAGTTCTTATTAACCGAGCAGGAGGTCTGTATGGGAGAATCTTGACCGAGGTCGCCAGTACAGACCGAACGCAGTGAGGTCTGTACCAGCGACTGAGGTCAAGATTCTCCCATACAGACCGACCTAGCTCGGTTAATAAGATGTTTATT